TAAGTTTTACTTCTCAAATAAATTCATAAAATTATCATGAACCTAAAGATTCCGCATATTAACTCATTTGTTATTACTATTCTCCATAGATGTGTAACCTATAGATTCCTTAATGAGGAGAAATAATGAGCTTAGGAGGCATCATTTTGGGGTAAAGTACCTGTGTTGAAATTTAAATTACTTGTAAGAAAATTGTATACAATCTCTGTTTATTTTTTATTACTTAGTTCAAAAAAGGTTTAGGTTTTATTATAAGTTGTGATATTTGTAACGTCCAAATTTAATAAATTAATTTTGTTTCATATTTTTCACTAAATGGTATTTTTTTTTATCTTTTGTACTTGATACTTAATTCCCTATATTTTACTATATTTTTATTTTCTATACACTGCATTTCCCAATTTCGAGAAAATCTTGTTATGCTAGTGTATATTTTATATTAAAGTCTAATACATATTTCTAAAAATTGTCATAATATTAACATCAAACTAATATAAAACACTAAATTATAATATAAATAATGTATAGGTTACACATCTATATATCAATATTGACATTAATATAGTTATTATGCTAGTGCATTTCCTGCAACATGGTGACTCTTTTTTAGATTTGCGGTTAAACTACTCCATATAATAAGTTATTTTTCAAAATTTAGTTTAGAATTACAATATTTCAAACAATCAAACTTTGTAGCACAGATGTTGCAGCGACATGCAGTCAGTTATTCTGAAGCCGATTCCTTCATTTAATAATTCTGTAGAACTTGAAGAGGTGCAATCATTCATCTGCAACAGAATGAAATGGTAATTAATTGATTCAAGTGTACAAAATAATCAATTTAATTATTGCTTTTCACCTAATTACATACCTTATTAAAAAAAACTGGTTTTCTTTGATTATATGGATCTCTCCCCATTTACTTAAAAAACTTCTTTGCACTTCTCTACAATGATGGAACTCACAAACCATGTAAAAATTATGATTAGTTTTTACAGGTACAGATAGGAACTTTTATTGCCTGCACATTTTTGTGAAATGTCTATGATAGAATCATAAATCAAATTAGTTTGAAAAACTTGTCATGACATGACCAATTTACAGGTTGATCTACAATATTTGAAACAATAATAGAGAGATATTCTACACACAACCTAAATAATGTTTAAGTTAATTTTTATTATTGAATCTTTTTCATGTTTCGAGCAAACCATATTATACTAAATATCAAGCCAATTTAAAAGGTTAAAATTGTTCAAGTAATTGCTGGAAATATGTGCTTTGGGAATTACTTAATATTTACCACTTACCATGTAGAATTTGGCATATGTCTTGTACTTACTTTTATGTTATTTTCATCAATTTTTGTTGTAAATTTACTTTTCAGCAATCAGCAAAAGGTCTTAAGTTCTAGTTCAACATTTAGTTCTTTTAAATATGAATAGAATGTAAAATTATATCTTTATTCAAATTCTATTTCTGTGAATCCATAGATTATGTTTTCTACTGCTTTTTACTTGTTTCACACCTAAAAACAGAAAGTATTAAAAATTGATAAGTTGTTCATATAATGTTCTTCCTATGTAGTTAATTATAACTGTAAAGCTTATTCTTATAATTTAATAAGTTACAAAAACTTCAGAGGTTGGATGTAACTGCTGGTAACTTAGTTTAAATAGAAAAATAAACTATTACAGATATCTTTATTTTTATTAAATCACATATTGTTGATGTGTACTTTTTAATAATAAATTTCGGTCAATTTGTCATTGGAAAGTGAGTCACAGTCCCATTTTAAAGTCCGACCCAAACACAACAATAAACAAAGTCTTTTAACATTTGAATAATAATTTTATTTGGTACAAGTTTTCGTAAAATCAATTTTAAACTTAAGGAAATGATCACCATGAGTATTATTGCTATGAAGATTGCTGAAGTTGAATATATTACTATGAAGATTTTTTTTCGGGGTCTTAATTTATTTCAGTGAGATAATAAAATTGTTTCATATGTTTTCAGTTTTGTCACAGGTATGCTTTTCTAGAAGTTTATTGGAAGAAGTTTTTCTAGAAATACCTTCAAACAAACATATCCATCAAATCATTCGCAATTATAATCTGACTAATATTATAAATGCGGTTGTTTGAATGGATGGATCAATGTTTGTTTGAAGGTATCTCCAGAACTAGTCTAGTCTGGAAGAACACAGGCTATTGATATGAAAAGAAAGGGACATGGTATGGAAAAAGTGAGAGAAATGTTATGTCTAAAAAAACTTACAGCAAATCTACTCAGCAATGAGACAATGATAGGCACAATTCCGCTCTTCATTAGCTGTCGTTTGACGTCATCGTTGCCAGCCAACGCTGTTATTCTAAAACAATAACAAAGTTATATTACCATGGAAACAAAGAATATATAAAATCAATATGTAAATGGCAACCAAAGTTAAAACGCAAAGTTTAATCGATACTGATAACTACTTTACCTTTCTCTTGCTGTAAGATATCAGTACGAAAAAAAAAACAGAAAAAGAAAAATTGCCTAAAGATCCAAGCATATTAAGCATAAAATTCAACCAAAGACCTTTCTGAGACGAAGAAGAACATTACAGGTAGAAATCTAAATGGAACAAGTCAAGAAATGGCTGCAATAGAAAAAGGAAATTATCTATCCTTTAGTGACAATAATACTGAATTAAAAACAATACAATATTGGCAGAAACATAATCAAGACGTACTAAAAGGTGATATCATAAATGAAACAGATCGTAACACGGCCATCACTAAAAACTGCATAATCAAAGTAAATCAAACATCTTGTAATGATTTTAGTGATAGTACGGATCAATTAAAACATAGAGCAAGACATATAAACTATTGGAAGACAGAATTAGAAAGAGCTTTAAGTGATATTGACGTAGAAATAAACGTATTAGAATCGTTAAGACAACAATTAAAAAATGCTATCGATATATTAAGAATACCTGAATATATCAATGAAGAATGTTTAAATTTAAGACGTAATAGAATGGAAACAGACGCAATATACGATGAACCACAAGACGCGTTATTCAACGAAGCAGTATTAATAGAAAATATTAAAAGAATTCATAAAGATTCTTTGAGAGAGATAGAAAATCAAATAAAAATGAACATGGCAGCTAAAAATACATTAGAAAGAGATTGGAGCAACAAACATTTAGCATTTAAATATGAAACTATAAACAGTGAATTAAAAACAAAATCTGAAAATGTGAAAACATCAGGAACAACAAGATTATGTGAAGGACAATCTGACGTTCTATCATGGGAACATTTCACACAATCAGGATTGGAACAATTCAAAAGTGCGATAAAGAAATCTGAAGAATTAAGAATAAACATTAATGCGGTATTGATAAACACTGCAAGGGATTTACGTTCACAAGACATTAGAGTCAATAAAGCGTTAAGCGATAGAATCGCTCGTACAGAACAAGTAAAAACAGAATTAGAAAATCAATTAAAACTAACATTAGGAAAGATAACAGAGACGGAGAATATTCTGGAAACTCTACACGAGGAAATATTAAAAGTATCACAAAGGGTACAAGTTGCTCAAACAAGATTGAACACTAAACATATAAGACCTAACGTCGAAAATTGCAGAGAAGGTTCCCTCTTCGGTTTAATAGACGAAGTACGAGATCTAAATAATAGTATGACATTATTACAAAACAGAATGTTGGAAACAGAAATTACGAGCTAATTTAATACATGATAGATCTAAAATAGAAAATGAAATTATAGTAAAAAAGAAATCTCTATATATTGATAATGAAAGATGTTTATTTATAAGATCGCATTATCAATCTGCTGAAAAACTGTGTGGGTTTTAAAAGCTTATAAAATTAATAAACATATATAAAAACGGCTAAACACTCACGTATATTCGTCCGGTGGCGGCACCGACTACGGCCGGCCAACTACAGTGAGGTGGGGGCCGCGTCCGCGCAATAATACCAGTCCCACTCACCCTGATGAAGGACCCCCGATGAGCTCGAAACTAGTCGGTGCCGCCGGACAAATATACGTGAGTGTTTAGCCGTTTTTATAAGTTTAGTATAATGTCTCACGAATGTTTGAATAATCTTATAAAATTGATTATAATACAATGTAGTATAAAATAAACTTTTAATCTTTGGTTAATTTTTTAATACTCATAACAAACGATTTAGGTAATTGTAATCTACTACTGACATACGTAGTTATCCGAAACAAACATTTTTTATACATGAAATCCACACAAAGAATCTCATAGTGGAATTAAAAATGCCTAAGTTACTCCCGCCCATATAAGCTACCTTCTAGTAAAAGTCCCGCCATATTTTTTCCAGATATTACGGATATTACCCAAAACAAACGGACAGACAGACCCACAGATAAACTAAAAAAATGATTTTTGTTACACGCAACTTATATATTGTTAGAGATTTTTTTATCAACATTACATACAGACATACAAATCTAACTTATATTATAAATACAAAAGTTTGGATAGATTTATATTTGTTAGAATTTCCGAACCGATATTGCTGAAATTTGGCATAGATGTAGAACATACCCTGAAAGTATACATAGACTACTAATTAAGTTTTTTCTAACCCAACGCGGAGTCGCAGGCAACAGCTAGTATATACTCACAGCTTAGTGGCTTGATGTACAACGGTGACGTCATCGTAGTTGTCAGCCAGCACAGTGAAGAGAGCAGCAGCGCCGCGCTCCGCCGCCACCGCGCACAGCTCGTGTCGCACCAGCAGGCACGCGATTGTACACATCACATCACTTACCAACGGTGGCTTCATGTTATCTAACACAAATATACTTCACTAGAACATGGAATATTCTAGAAATTACAACCACAAGAGGAATCTAATACTTTGTTTCAACGATGGCATACATCAACATCAACCACGACCACAGACAAGTTTCAAGTGGAAGCAATTCTCTGTATAGTCTGATGAATGCATTCCGGAAGTCTAATTTTACTCTTCTTTAAGGACAAATGAGAAGAATGGAAGAAGAGGATTAGGCGGTTTGGAGAAGGATACCATACACAAGGCAACCCTTAAGTGAATAGTATTTATGTGTTTCGTCTGATAAGTGTGTGTGCGGGAGGACAAATTCTATTTCTCTTCTTCTTTATCCCATTTTCCAAATAAGAAATGGTGGGATGGGTAAATTAATGTCTCATCGGTCTATTAAACCATCCCAACCCCATCTGTATCCTTTTAACTTATTCAAAATGTCTATGGGCAGAGATCACTTTCCAGAAAATTATTATTTATATTTCTAAAATAATTAATCTAAGATATTGTAAAATAATCTTACTTTCAAGCAATCTAGTCAACGTATCAAGAAGCTCCGCGCCAAGTTCACGAGCATGTTCGTGAGCTTTGCCAAACTCCACGCGCAAGTCGTCGTCTAAAGTCAACTTTCTGATAACTTGTAGGCATTCACTTATTAACTGAAATACACAAACTATTATTACTTTGAGTTGATAATTGTTCACTAAGACCTTTAACATATATTAAGCAACTGACTTTGTAGCCTATGACATCGGCTTCACAGATTTAAAAAAAAATCAAAGCCTATGTGTTCTTCCAGACTATGTTCTACATGTATGCCAAATTTCAGCGAAATCCATGCAGCCGTTCTGAAGATATCTTCAGTACTTCAGAGTACAAACGTCCATCCATAAATTCTCATTTATAATATTAGTTAGATTGTGCCAGTTACTTTTCTTTCAGTGACATTTAAATTAATTTAAAAACATTTGTTTTTTTTAGTTTGATTTATTCTAAACGGGTGAAATATCCTTGTTGGCTAGTTCATCGCAAAATCTATTTTAAGTTACTTACCTCTATATTATTAGTTTTATTCAATAAATTGTTCAAATTCCGTCCAATGCCAGCACCAAATATCATCTGTGTGTTCATTTCATGTTTAACACAACACACAGCGGTCCATTTTAATGTTGCTATTAAAATAGATTCATCTTCCATTTCATCTAGATTTCTGAAATCAAAATTTATCTCAAACTAAGCTAGATCTAGACTGGATACTACTGTGAATAGTAACTGAGTGTATCCACCGTTGAAAATTTTTTTTTGCAACATGTTACCACTTCTAAAATAATGTTTCAATATCAGTGTTGCCACAGTACAAAATGTAATAATTAAAATGAAATTTTATGGTAGCTATATTTTTTTTTTCTCTTTAGATTCAGTCATTTTTCACGAGCACCAAAAAAGTATCAAACATGTCAAACTTACTTTTTAATAATTTTAACACCTTTTCTATCCAGTAAATCTGGTTGTGAATTCATTAAAGCGATCAATGTGTTTATTACTTTTATAATAGAAGCAGCATCTTTTTCACTATTAACATTCAAGTAAGATTTCTGTTTTAAATCTAGTAAATTTATAAGCGCAGGATAAATACCCTATTTGCCTGCTCTTACTCTATGAGCAATATCTTTGTTGCATTCTCTCTGAAAATTGAATAATCTTTGTACATTTTTTTAAGTGTATGATGTCAAACACAAAATCACACCTTATTTAGCTAAAATCGCTGCTTGTTAGCCCCCTTCTGTTATAAAAAAAAATAGGAGTTATTATTGCCCATGGGCATCTGCTACAAGTTAAAAAGCAACAGATGAATGCATTTAGGCAATGGTCTACAGTTAATGGACAGAGGAGGGACTCACAATAAGATGGTCTATTCCTCATTGGTATGGGAAGGCTTGCCATATCCACTTTCCCCTTCCCATCCTTTCCTTATATGAAAAGAGGTATTTTATGTAACTTTATACTATTAATTTACAAACATTTATTTAATACTGAGACCAGAGAGCAATTTTGTTTGTAATTTACAATTTTGCAAAGCACCAATAGCCTAATGGTTACAAGTACAGATTTCCAATCATGTGGTTGAAAGTTCTAATACTAGAGGTTACTTTGAATGGTGCAAGTAATATTAGTAAATAATCAAAAAATCTGCTAATTCTTAAAAATATAGAAAAATTATCAATAGAAAATAGTTACCATCTGTAGTGTATGCATAAACGTAGTGTTGTTTGTCTCGAGCGTACACGCCATAAGTACATGCCGGAGAGAGGGGAAGTCAGTCTATGTCAGACCTTTGAGCCGGCAACACGTGTCGGTACGTGAACGAGCCAAATATAGCACAACGAATGCTACACCATCAATATATCCAATTGGTTCATCATTGTTTTGGGCTGCATTTGACAACTCCTTGAGTTTTTTAACGGTTAAACTCACTTGATGTTCTTCACCAGTGTTTAAATTTAGATCCTTGATAATATTAGATAAATCCACACCCTGTAAAATAAATTGTATCTATTAGGAATAGTGGGTTTTATTATTTTGTTCCTTTATTCAGCAGAACAATGTATGAGGTGTTATTTAACTTTAATTCTATTAATTATAATTTAAAACGATAAAGATTTCATGAATTTTAGTGTTTTTTTTTTTGGGAATTTATTTTACCTGTGCTTCAAATTGAGCAATTGCTTCTTTAATAGCCTCCTCGGGGCTCATATCAAATTCATCCATATTCTCCTTTACAACGTCATCGTAAGTTTCCTGAGTTATCACTCGAACCATTTTTTACGTTCTAATGAAGTATTTTAGGTATTTTAATTCACAAGATACTTTTTTTCACTGTTAATCAAATTTATTTGAACAGCCGGTGATTCACAGAAGTTTTGAAAACAATTAATTCTTTTTGATATACATGACATTGACAATTGACAAGCTGTCATAATAAACTGAGCTACTGGAAAAGACTTGTAAATTTTACACATGGTGACATTTCGTGTAGGTAGACCATGTACTCTTTGATTTAGGCTTTCAATATAAAAGAAAGCTACTGGAAAAGACTTGTAAATTTTACACATTTGGTAGATTTATGGCAGTTAAATTTGTGACAGATCATTAATTTTATTTAGGGCACCTTAAATTTGTATTTCAAAAATAAAATATAGCAACTTATTTATCATGTTATATAGTTTAAAAACTACATTGTTCTAACTTAAAAAATGAAATTATTTTTAAATTATGCTATTATTAAAAATAT